GGACACCATTAGTTCGTTGGAGATAAACCAGGCCAACTATACGACTGCATTAGATATACTTAAAAAACGATTTAGTAATAAACGTCTCATCACACAGGCACACATTATAGAGGTATTTGGGCTGGAACGAGCGGATTCATCGGTTGGAAAGCTGCGGGCGTTTACGGACTCCGTCACCGCACATCTTCGCGCACTGGAAGCGCTGGCAACAATGGAAGAGTTCGCCGATTGCATAATCGTTCATGCAGTCGTGCAGAATTTGGACAGGCTAACTCAATCGAAATGGGAAGAAGGCTCATCGAATCAAGATCTTCCCTCTTGGGAGAAATTGTCTGCCTTTCTGGACAAAAGATGTCGTACCCTGGAAAATGTTGATCACGCCCTGCATTGGAATTCTGGTCAGGTTAGCAAGCCAGTAAAGGCCGTGAGTACGTACCTTAAAAAATCATTATTTGCATCGGCGGGCTAAGGTTTTTGTGAGCTACGCCATGCCCAAGGCCATTAGATTTCGCAATGCAAGCGCTCTGAGAAGATGTCTCCTAAAGCGCGGCATAAAGATGCCAAGCGACTGTCACTTTGCATTAACCGCTTGCATAAGGGCCATCAGATGCGAGATTGCCGATCAAGTCCTTGCCGTACCTGCCAATCAAAGCACCATACGCTGCTTTATTACATGCCATCGCACGTATCCACACAGTCTATGGACCAATCTGCCGTTGTTAACCCCAGCATTGCCCAACCTAGCTGGATGGTCGCAGTTTCGCCCAGCGCTCTTCTAGCAACAGCTGTTATGCTCATCAAGGATCTAGCTGGCACGTTTGTATCATGCCAAGCTCTCTTGGATTCTGATTCCCAAGTTCATTTCGTCACTTCTAGGTTTGTGGAGCAGCTAAAACTTCGGAAAATGAAATCGTTTGCTGCACTTTCAGGCATTGAAGACGTGAGCTTTTCCACAGAAAGTTACTCAGTCGATCTCGTCCTAAAATCTCGCATCTGGGAGTACTCAACAACCATGAGGGCCGTGATAGCTCCGCGGATAACAGACCAGCAGCCTAACCATTCGTTCAACATTGAATCTTGGAGCGTATCGTCGAATAAACAGCTTGCTTATCCATCGTTTTTCGTACCACAGCGAATTGATTTGCTCATCGGAGAAGATCGGTTTTTTGAATTACTGTGCGTTGGCCAAATCCATTTAGCTTCGGGATTGCCGTTGCTGCCCCAGTCGTCATCATTCGTTATCCGCAGAAGAGCTTCATTGTGAAGAGCACTGCAAGCAGCAATACAGTAGGTTGCCTACGGGGGAATATTCTGTTCATCTGCCGATGAAGCGTGATGTAGGTGCATTTATACGCGATCGGTTACCTCAATTGGAGTTCAGACCCATCTACTTTGTTCGAAATCTCGGCTGGCACCTCTGAATCAACGTGTTCGTTTCCAACAGGGTCGCTGTCATACAGCAGCTGACGCAGGGAACGGAATAAAATTATGTTCTGACGACAGCTTCGTTCCTGGCCGCCCTCAAACATTTTACGGCCACAAGAGGCATTCCAAGATGCATTTGGTCGGACAATGCGGAATGAGCTGGAGGAACTAAAACGCCTGTTCTTGAGCCAGAAGCACATCGACGACGTTCATGCGCACTGCCTGAACAGTGGCTTCGATTGGCGTTTCATCCCACCTCGATTCCCGCACTTTGGCGGGCTTTGGGAGGCTGCTGTCAAAATGACTAAGCGGCACCTTTACACTTCAGTCGGAACAGGCATTCTTGGCTTCGAAGAGCTTCGGACCTTGTTATGCCAAATACAGGGAATAATCAATTCTCGCCCTCTTGTTCCCTTTTCAGAGAATACAGATGATCTTGGCGTCCTCACTCCGGGCCACTTCCTCATTGGTCGACCCCTTGCATCGTTTCCGGAGCCGGACCTATCGTCGTTAAGCTACAGTCAGCTGGATCGTTGGCAACACGTCACCCGCATTCAGCAGATGTTCTGGAGAAGGTGGAGCGAGGATTACATAACTCTGCTTCAAAGGCGCTCGAAATGGTGGTCCGTGGAGCCGTCCGTCAAGGTCAACGACATCGTTTGCATCAAGGACGAAGGGCTGCCTCCATTAAAGTGGCCGCTAGCTCGAATCGTCGACGTGGTCCCTGGAGCTGATGGGGTAATCAGAGTTGCCGTTTTTCGTACGTCGACAGGTACTACTCGACGAGCTGTTACCAAGCTCTGCGTCCTTCCCGTGAATGCTGATGCGGAAGTCCCTGATATTCCACAGGGGGGAGAATGTTCGGAGCTGCCGCTGGCGTGCAGTGCATAGCGTTGAGCGGGCTGAGTGAGTTGCATTGCTCTTGAGAGCGGGGAGTCCAAGCCGTGAGAGCAAACGGAACGGAATAATATAATCCGACGACCTTTGGAAAGTAGTTATATGTTCGTAACCCTTCGCCATAAAACACACGGATGGAATTTGTCGCTTGTCGACAATTTCGCGTTCTGAGTTTCTTTTTTGAAAATTATTCAAGCGGTCGGAAAAGCCCGACAGCTCACAACACTGCTATTGTGCGAATTGTCAGAATCGTAATAGTCAAGAAAAAAGATCACACGTTGAGAGTCTGCGTTGACTATCGGAAACTGGTGTTGAAAGAGCGCTTTCCCGTGATGGACAACGTGCTGGAAAAACTGAAAGCAGCAAAGTTCAAATCAGCAAAGTTTTTCAGCATTATGGATTTGGAAAATGGGTTTTTCCATATGCCCGTAGAAGAGAATAGCAGAGCTTACACTGCGTTTATTACTCGTGAAGGATTTTTTTGAATTCAACAAGACGCCGTTCGGATTTACAAACTCTCCAGCAGCCGCTCATCAATGAAAACGTTATGCAGCTGTACATGGATGACATAATTATTTATGCCAATGACGTCGGAGAATGCATGACCAAAACAAAGAAAGTTTTAGAGAAAGCAGCGATCAAACAGTTGAAATCCTTTCTCGTAACGGAGCCTGTATTACGAATTTACATAAGGGGTGCGCCAACGGAGCTTCACACTGACGCGTCGAAAGATGGCTACGGCGCAGTTCTATTGCAGATGTTCGATGGTAAGCTTCATTCGGTTTATTTCTGAAGCAAGAAGACGACGAAAGCTGAATCTAAGCAACATAGTTACATACTCGAGGTCAAATCTGCATATCTGGCATTGAAAAAGTTTAGACATTATTTGCTTGGAATAAGGTTTAAGCTGGTCACGGTTTGTATCGCGTTTAAGCAGACAACGAGTAAGCTTGAATAATTTTATATCTAACTGTATAAGTTGTATTATTCACAGCAAAAAGACCGGCAAGCAAGAAGGCCTCTTGCATTGCATCGACAAGGGTGATGTACTGATAAGCGACAGAGGCGTTGCATTCACGGCCAATGCGTTTGCTGAGTTCCTCAGCGCTAACATGGTAGAGCATGTCTGGTCAACAACTGGTGTTGCCAGAGGTTATGGTCAAGTCGAAAGGGTTAACCGATCAATCCTTTCGATCATAGCAAAGCTGTCATCAGAAAAACCGTCAAAGTGGTTCAAGTATGTACCTTCTGTGCAACAAGCGATTAACTCCCACATTCATATGTCGACGAAAGTATCACCATTCGAAATCATGTTCGACATCAAGATGAATAGCAAAGCAGAAGACCGACTAATGAAGCTACTGAATCAGGAGCTGGTAGAGAAGTTTAACGGCGACCGTCTTATGTTTGTTGCAGGTCGAAAGCTGGCGAGTTCATACCTTGGTCCGTATGAGATCGTCAACGTTAAGCGAAACGGACGATACGACTTGAAGTAAGCAGCCCCGGACATCGAAGGACCAAACGTGACAGCGACTAGCTGTGACAATCTCAAGCTGTGAAAGTTTGTCGAGCAAATCGAGGAGCTGTTGTCATCCGGGACGGATGACGAATGTCAGGATGGCCGAATAATTCGCGCACACAAGTGCAGACCTACCCGAGAGAGCTGAGAGCAGAGAGGAGATTGCGAGAACGAGAAACAAGAAGCGTCAGCCGCCGACGCTCAGAGGCCTACGCCATTCCGTTGCCAGTCGTCGTTTTCGTCAGTCGGGAGTTAATATCAGTCGTACTTTTATCAGTTGTCTTTTTTTTTGAAACATATCATACCTACAATATAATTACATATTCAATATAGCCACGTATTTCTGTCCGTCCGTCTGTCTGTCCGTCCTTCTTGATTGCTGCCTATATCTCAGAGACTATAAGAGCTAGAGAACCTAAATTTCCAGACTCATGTGATATCAAACTGTTCCATGTTTATTTCAAAATTTCGCCCCGCCTCCGACCCCGCAAAGGACGAAAATCTGTGGCAGGCACAATATCGTAGTATCGTAGAGAATCACCATATCTACCGGATGGCCGAATCTGAATCAGATCGGATCATTATTATGACCGCTCGCGAACATAACGAGGCAGTGTGCGATCGAGAAAGTGAATGAGGAGCGGGTCTCTTACTGCAGCAGGCGGGGGAAGCAATTGAAAATTAATGTCTTCATTCTGGCTATGATTATGATCCGATCTGATTTGGCAATCTGGTAGATATGGTCATTCTCCACCATACTGCGTTTTTAGTTTTATCGTAACTTTAGAATTGTGCCTGCCACAGATTTTTGTCCTTTATGGGGTCGGAAGGGGCGGGGCGAAATCTCGTGATATCTCATGAGCCTGCAAGAAAAATTTGGTCGCTCTAGCTTTTATAGTCTCTGAGATCTAGGCGCTCATCAAGACGGAGAGACGGACATGGCTATATCGACTCGCCTATTGATGCTGAACAAGAATATATATACTTTATGGGGTCGGAAACGTTTCCTTCTCTGCGTTACACACATCCACTTTTACCACAAATCTAATATACCCCTTAACTCTATTTTGAGTACGGGTATACAAATCGGTCAAACCGATTGTAATATTAATATAATTATTTTCAAATGAACATCAGGTGTTTTCTTCTTCTTAGCGTATTATTGAGTCTTACGTAGAAAAACGCCAGGGTACAACATATGGACCACCGAATCAACGGTCCATGACAGTTTTTATCGATGATATAAACATGCCAGTTATAAACGAGTGGGGAGATCAAATCACAAATGAAATAGTGAGGCAAATGATCGAGCAACATGGTTTTTATTCTTTGGAAAGACCAGGTGATTTTTCTACTATCATGGATATACAGTTCCTGTCAGCCATGATTCATCCAGGGGGCGGACGAAATGATATTCCGAATCGCTTAAAACGTCATCTATGTATTTTCAACTGCACATTACCGAGCAATAATTCCATGGACCAGATTTTTAAAAGCATAAGTGCTGGCTACTTTTGTTTGGAACGATTTGATGATGAGGTTGTGCAAATAATACCTTTCCTAGTACCGTTGACTCGAATATTTTGGCAAAATATTAAGACAAAAATGTTACCAACGCCATCCAACTTTCATTACGTTTTTAACTTGCGTGATCTATCACGTATTTGGGAAGGCATTCTTAAAGTAAAACGAGAAGAATGCCGAACAAGAGTTCAGGTACTTAAGCTATGGTGCCACGAGTGTACTCGAGTTATTTCTGATCGATTTACGGCGGAAAAGGACAAAACTTGGTTTTTGGCGAGAATGCGAATTGATGCCGAATCTTATTTAGGAGAAATTTTTGAAGATTATCCAGATGAACCAACCTTTTGGGTGGATTTCCTACGAGATGCACCAGAAGCGCAAGAAGATGACGACGAAGAAATGTCTTTTGAGCCGCCAAAAATATATGAGGAAATACCAAGGTGCGTAATTTATTATTGAAAACTTATTATTACGTACTTATTATTTCCTTATTTACAAAAAAATTTCCTAGTTTTGATTTCGTAAGAGCGAAAGTTATGGTTTTTATGTCTCAGTTTAATGAATATATACGCGGATATCATATGGATCTGGTTTTTTTTATGGATGCTCTCAAGCACTTAATAATAGTATCGCGTATAATAAGCAATCCTAGGGGGAATGCCTTGCTTGTGGGAGTTGGTGGTTCTGGTAAACAGAGCTTAACGCGTCTTGCTTCTTTTATTGCTGGCTATAAATTCTTTCAAATAACTTTAACGCGTTCATATAATAATGGTAATTTAACAGACGACCTTAAATTTTTATATCGAACTGCTGGACTGGAAGGAAGTGGCATGACATTCATATTTACAGACAATGAAATTAAAGAAGAATCCTTTCTAGAATTTATCAATAACATATTAAGCTCTGGGGAAATCGCTAACCTGTTTGCAAAAGACGAAATGGATGAAATCTATAGCGAGCTCATTCCTGTTATGAAAAAACTCCATCCACGTCGACCCGCAACACAAGATAATCTTTACGATTTTTTCATATCACGTGCCCGATATAATCTCCATATAGCACTATGTTTTTCGCCGGTAAGTCTGCCAATTGTAAACAAATTATCTGTTAACTGGAAAGTGGTATTTTAGGTTGGAGAAAAATTCCGTATGCGTTCTTTAAAGTTTCCTGGCCTTATTTCTGGGTGCGTAATAGACTGGTTTCAAAAATGGCCGGAAGATGCGCGTATAGCTGTATCCCGACACTATCTGGCAGAGTTTCCGCTCGTTTGCAGTGACAAGGTGAAGAATCAAGTAATAGATATAATGAGCTGGATTCACGAAACTGTACAAGAAGCTTGTGTATGTTATTACGATCGATTTAGGCGAGTTACTTTTGTAACTCCAAAATCATTGATATCGTTTTTGGAAAGCTATAAATTATTATACAAAGATAAGCAGAATCATATTGTTATAATGTCTGAGCGCATGAGTTCGGGCTTAGACAAACTTGATGAGGCAGGGGCTTCAGTTGCTATACTTAAAAAGGATTTAATCGAAATGAATAAAGTTATCGCTATTGCTAGTGATGAAGCTGAAGAAGTTCTGGCAACCGTTGAAAAATCAAAGGCAGGTGCTGAGATAGTCAAAGTAGAGGTAGCAGAAAAGAAAGGTAAAGCTGAAGTTCTTGTTAAGAATATATCGGCGGTAAAACAAGTTGCTGAAGCAAAGTTGGAAAAGGCTCTTCCTGCTTTAGAAGAAGCTGAAGCGGCTTTGAAAACAATCAAAGCGGCAGACATAGCCACTGTTCGAAAACTTGGAAAGCCGCCGTACCTAATAACTCTGATTATGGATTGCGTATGTATACTATTTAGACGTAAGATCAAACCCATTCGTCCAGATACAGAGAAAACTTTTATTCAAAGTTCCTGGGACGAGTCATTAAAAGTTATGTCCGATACAAGCTTTCTTCGAAAAATAGTGGAGTACCCAACGGATTTGATAAATGCTGAAATGGTCGATATGATGGTTCCATATTTTCAGTACCCGTAAGTAGTAAACCTATTCCCTAATCACTTGCAACTATCACTTTATTTAGGTTATCGATATAGGTTATTCTCAAAACGTATGCACTATATAATTAAAAAGTTATAAATTTTTAATTCTTTACAAAAAATACTTATTTAATATTTTTTACTTGATTTATTTATTGTATTCATTTGAGGGCGTATTCATTTCCAGACCTAATTAAAAATCTTTGATCAGAGCTCTGCAGACCGAAAAGTTGTTTTGAACTTTTAGATTTGTTTATTAAAGTTTTGTTAAAGTTATGTTAAGTTTAACATGTTTACTTTATTTGATATATGGTTTGTGTATTTAATTAACGAGAAGCTTAATAGAAGATCGATTTTTGTTTGGGTGATGAGCTTTAGGAAAGTGAAGCTTTATATTAATATATTTGAGAACGTGTTGTTTGTGTGACGGATATATTTATATGTAATTATATTTTTATGGTTGTTCAGAGTGAAGACGGCGCTGGCAAAGCAACCGCTCTGTGGGCATTCCAGCCACACATCGCTGTTAGCGTTCCAGCTATACAAGCGGTCGCCCTCGCTCTCGCCCTCGTACTTAAGAGCATTATTCCCCCCGGCGACGCGCTCTCGCGCGCATACTCACCATGCTTGCGCTCCCGCCCACGCTAACGCTCCCACTCTCGCTGCCGACAGCCCTCGACAGCTAGAGCGGCACCGATCTATAATACTTCGCTTTTCTACCCCAAGCAAAAACGGCCGGCTTTTGCACGCGACTACCTATTTAGCTAAGTGACTAAAACTACGAAAAAATCTGTACATATTGAAGAACTTGGACCGCTGCATCTGTAGTGAACAGTTTTGCAGGGATGTAGAATGTAAAATGTAGTTATGAATTTACATAGGAATGTTGGGAGTTGTGGGAAATGTCGTTAAGAGTAGAGCTTGCAAGTACGCAAAGCAACATAAGACTAGAAGAGAAAGAGGAATGTCAAAAAAAAATTTACGTCTCTCTCTCCCCGCTCTGATATCGCGGCAGAAGGCTGACCCTCATTCTTTTCTTTTCAAACCACTCAAAGGTGCAAACGTACAATCGTGCAGCCTCCAGGAACAGTTTCCGCAACGTTTTGTTCAAACAACGTATAATCCGAATAATTTCGAACCATCAGTGGTCATTTTCTCGATTAAACGGCAAAAGAACCCAAGTGAGTTAAATTAAAATCAGTGCCCATACATATTTTGATGGTGAGTGTCCATTTAGTGCAAAAACTAGGCAGCTTAAACCCATGTGCAAATTTTCCTAACATAGGCAATCGCTTTCTCGAGGTTGTATTAGGCCCAGAGAAAAAGCGAACCATAATCTCCGACGCGAGTGTCTCCGATCTTGGCGTGCAAAGGAATAGCAGAGAGGAAACAAATACACCGGCAAAACGACAGGTCAATAAACCGAGGCGACAGCGGCCAAACATATTTTCGTAGCATTGGCAATAACGCTGGGCAACAGGTCTCACTCCGAGCTTTCCTGCACCAAGCCAAAGATCGAGGCAACCATACTACTGGAAGGACGGAGGATTTGCAAAACCATACTAACAGCCGGCAGAGGGTGCGGCAGAAGTCTAAGGCGAAAACGGCGAGGTCTCCAATATCCACAGAAGTTGAAAGAGCCCCACCTACGCGATTGGAATATTGGGCAAACTTAGAGAGTTCTGTAGTTTTCGTAGATGAGAAAAAAAATGATATTCCAAAGTCGATTGGACAAGGGCAGCAGATTTAGTTGACTTTTGTTTTCTCTTTTGGTTTGTCTGTTTAAACAGACCGAATTAACGTAACGTAAAAACATAAAAACAGAAGGAAGCGAGAGAAGGAAAAAATTAAATGGAAAAGGTTTCAAACGCGCAAGTTGGTTAAACATTTCTGAAATTGATTGGTGCCTCATATAAATAACCCATATTTTTTGAATTAGTGCAAAAACGGAAGAAATACCAAACCTCCTCCTCGCAACGACGAAGGCCTTCGGCGGACATGAACTGGGAGTTAATAATATGCAATTCAGCATTGAATGTAAGTTACATATGCCCTATATTTACCTTGTTTATTTATATGTAGTGCCACCAAAAGATTAGAAAGAAAAGTAAAGCGTGAAAAAGAGAAAAGAAACGAAAACATGAAAGACATCGAGATTAAGCATATTCTATCATAATGCTTATCAGTCATGCGACTATCATTTAAGCAATTCCCTTTCTCTTCGCATATTCGACGCGAGACCATTTAGTTAGTACATACCTACATACATATATGCGCAAGAGCTAAGAAATTCGTTTTGTTTTGCTTTTTGCTCTTCTATCAGTAACTGTAATGTAGTTTACAATGTCGTGCATATAAATAGCATTTAGTATTAACGTTCAATGGAAAAGCTTGAAAAAAAAATTATGTTGAAGTAAATAACAATTAAGAATGGAGTGAAACGTGTGATCGGTTTTCCTAGATGGGTATAAGAGGGTAATTAAAGTGTTGTAACCGCTTTGGGATCTTTCTATAATCGTTGCCAGCGGAAGATCATAGTGGGTATAGAGGCAAGAGCGTTACCATAACACCTAGGTAATTGCAAGCGGTATGGTCCGAGTCACTGTGTAATTCTTTCTTCGCCACTTTTATTTATTGTCGTGCTGCTTGTAAAGTCAGATGGGCTTTACGGGACTCTTGATAATATGTGCTGTAGGTGTGTTGAGTGGAGGTGTCAAGAACCCCCCCAGGCTGATACGCTAGCTGATGCCAGAGAGCCCCCCCGAACACTCCACCCAGCAATCAAGCCACCTACATTCGCTCCGCTGATCGGGTGCAACTCCGTTTTGTCAATTGTGTTGCCAAGTCACCAGGTATCCGGGGATAAACAAACCGCGTTGTGTCGAGTCAGAGGGACCCTTTTACATGAGAAGTGCAATTGGGGGGTGATCTTTTTTGAGAAAGGAAGATCACGCGAACCAGCAATACATTTTCCTAAGATCTCTACGGAGGGAAATAGAATTCCAATCGTTCTGTATCAGGCAAACGAGAGTCTGGTCCTTACATATTTTTGCGCCCAACGTGGGGCTGATTTTGTGAGAACAGATCAGTTTCATTTCTTTAACAAGGTCCTACTATCAATTCTATAACTATATTTCTTTCTTTGAAATTCTATTTTTTCTCTAATCTTCAATGTAATAGCTGAATCTTTCGCTATCCTTTGGAATTAGTGACTTTTGGTAGAAGTCCGAAATCACTACCGGGGACTACGACGTTGGTTAAGTTTAACTTGAAGAGTCTTTCTTACTGTACGAGAGCGATTGATACAAAATAACAACAGCATGGAAGGAATTTCGAATCGAGGCGTTTAGCCACGATATCGACCGCTGTGATGTTGTTGTGGAGTAAAAAAGTCTATCAAATACCAACCCGTCAATTTTTCTTGGCAGCTTAATTCAAAATAAAATTTTTGTGTAGTGAAGAGTCCAATGACCACATTGCTGATGACGAGGCCTATGGAGGAATTATTCCTTAGGAAGAATACCATTTGGAATCCTACATGACAAGCGACTGTTAGGCAAGGATAAATAGACTCCCTTTCAATTTCTTTTTATGTTAAGTTTGTTTAATTGGCGCTGTGTGACTGAAGTTGTCGCTTAGTATAATACCTAGCCACGGTAAATACGCTAAGCCCTTTCATCAGCGAAGTAGTTGAAGCCATTGATCCCTTTTTTCTTTTTATAGTACAAGTGGAGCTCAAACCCCTCACTAGGTTACCCCTATGAACCCGAAGGAAACCATCTAAAATTAAAAAAAAAAAATAATAATTTCTAATAACGCAACTTTAAGTACTGATTTAAGAAAATGTTTGTCGCACGTAGCAAAGAAGATTTGCGCGAAAACGCAGGAGTTAATGTTCCAGAACAATGAAGAATTTGTTTCTTTGAGATGCTCGCTAACGAAAACCCAGTGTAATCATCAATTTCATGAGAAATGTCTGAGCGTATTCATAGAAACGAATAAGGAATGTCCCGTATGTAAACAATTGTGCCGTCCGAGAGATTTCATTACGATGACTGGTGATATTGGAGGTCAACGTCCACAACCAGCAGGTGTTGTAGCTACCAAGGGGGCTACTCCGAAAGCTCATTATTCCCGTAGTCAACATACAAAGAGAAAAGAAGTGGTAGGGCTACCAACCGACAGCAATGCTCCAGTCTTGAATACCACAGTTACTCATAGCCCAGCTAGAACAAGTAATGTAAATTCTTCACGAAAATGTCGGGGTGCAAGGAAGCAGACACAGGCAAGACCAGGCTTGGTAAACTCTTCTATGAGTTCCAATAGAACTCCGACCCAGAGCAATTTGGATTATGAGCAGATACTAGGTATGATGGAAAATTTAATAGATAGGAAGTTCGCTACCTTACAGGTGCAACCCAATGTATCCGGAAACGGACAATTAGCGGATGAGAGGAATCAAAGTTCAATAGGAAGTTCACAATCTCCATTAGGTAGAGTCCAGTCTTCTACACGATCCCAATCGAATACAGGAGGAGGTCTGCTACCCGAGAAATCGGCTCGAATTGTCCAAAGCTGGAATGTGAAGTTTGATGGGTCAGAAAAAGGTCCCACAGTTCAAGAATTTCTATACCGACTCCGAGCACTGACCGCAGATAGCTTGAGCAATGACTTCAGTTGTTTATGTAAGAATTTGCACATTGTATTATGTGGTAAAGTCAGAGATTGGTATTGGCGCTATCGGAAAGATGTAGGTAGTGTAGAATGGGAAGAGTTTTGTGAAGCACTCAAGAGTCAATACCATGATCACAAGGATGATGACATAATTATGGAAGAAGTGCGGGCGAGAAAACAAAAGGAAGGCGAAACTTGTGATGCCTTTTACGACGACTTAGTGACTCTTGTGTCTCGACTGACTATTCCTCTGGATGAGTATAGATTAATACAGCAAGTTAAGAGAAATTTAGTGCCAGATTTGCGACAGGCACTATTGTATGTAACTGTATCATCGGTAGCGCATCTGAGGCAATTAGT